GGAAAATGAATGCAGAAAGAACATCAGATTTATTTTGTTTTTGACTATTTACTTCTTAACGCTATCCAGGGAATTATATTGCCTTATTAACATTTTCGCTAATCAACATTTTTTACCTAATTTGTATATAATAAATATACAGGCAAATGTACAGTGGTGTTATTTTTTTTTTAACCTTTTTTGCTCAACAGAATACATAAGAGGAACATTTAAGTGCATCCATCAGCTAGCTAGTTTTTGTTTTTGTTATTAAAACTACCTGCAATAGGGGCGGAGTTTGACAGCTATCCTGACTAGACGCCATGGCAGCTACCATAATACGTCAGACCCCTCCTGGCCACTATCTTACCCCATGCAGTAGCAAAGAAGCTAACTATTGGTGGGGTGTACTCACCTCCAATCCGCGATCACCCGAGATGGGATCCTATGATGCATATCAATACAAGACAAGATACACATCATGGCGGCACTGAAATGTAAAACGCCCTTCACATTAGAAAACTAACAGCTTACCTTTTACCAGGACTTAACACGAGCAACTCTTTTATGGTGTAGCCCAGTCACTACACAACTGCGCAAGGCAGGGATGGCTTACAGGTGGGGGGCTATGGGCTCCCCAATCTTATAGCTTCCCCAGTCTAGCGTGTTATGCACCATTAACTCACTGCATGTTGTAAGCTTGACCTTAAAATTAAATATGCTGGGGGGGCGTGGCCTGGCAGCTCATGGACTCGGACGCGTGACAGCGATTAGAAGAGATTTCACTAACCTACCTGCGAGACAATAATAACCCAAAACAGACTCAAGTCACCATGTCCCAACGAGGCCCAAAGAGAGCGAAAATGAGGCAAACAGAAGTACTATAATCTCCTCCCTAACACCGCCACGGAGCCGCACACAAAATGGCGCTGATGGCCCCAACTCTCCCACGGCCAGCTCAGATCGGAGTGATATCACATCCTTCTCAGCAACAAATGCTGCCCAGCATCAGAAGATGCCATGCAAAGGATGCTACAAAACTTACAGAACACACTGCAAGCTGAGTTCCCCAAATTAGCAAAGGATGTCCGAGCTGACATAAAATAAGTGAGCAAACTTCTGCACTTGAGGACAAAACTGAGGAAATTATCGAGGCCCACAACAACCTAACTGAGGCATTTGAATCATTAGACTCACGCCTGACCCTCTTAACTGCCAAAGTAGCAGATCATGAAGACCGCGATAGGTGCAATAATATGGTGCGGAAGAAATTAAGCCTTCAGAATTGAATGATTATGCTGTGGGCCTGTTCAAGGCCTTATGCCCAGGCCTCACTGATGCTGACCTACGCCTTGACCGCATACACCGCTTACCGCGGCCAGATTTCTGGACTCATCCACACCAAGGGATGTACTCACTCGAGTTCATTATTTTACATCGAAGGAAGCCATTATGCGGGCAGCACGAAATACTGATAACATCCCAAATGAATTTGCTGGGGTAAAACTATTCATTGACCTGTCAGCAGCAACTCTAGCGAAGCGCAAAGAAATGAAACCGCTTACGCAAGCTCTACAGAATGCGGACATTCTATATAAATGGGGTTACCCTACCCGTATAATCATTAAGAAAAATGGAGCTGAACACCACATCCATAACATAGGCGACGGAATCAAGCTGTTGAAGGAATGGAATCTGCAAGTTAACCGGCAAGACACGGCAGAGCGAACAAGGGACCTCAGAAAATCGCCGATCAAACTCACCAAAGACTGGGTCACCGAACAAAGACTAAGGACTGGTTTCAAACTAATGAGAGTCATTAGTTCACTTCGCACTGAAATACCGACAAGATATGTGAGCATGTTCTGATATTATACATACAGTATACTTTTTCAATGTTACAGGGCTAATGTGTGCCTAGCATTTTAAAATGTTCATGTCTTTAATACTGTAAGTCACCCTTAAGAAAGTCTCACTTCCCTGAGGTATGTTCTAACGATGAACTAATTTACACATGTTTCAAGAGGGCTTACTCCTAGCCTTTTTTACCCAACAGACAGGTAGGCAGGTGTATAGCAACTTAACCACCCTCCCCCATGTTATGGCTTCACAGAGCCGTCAAATATTTGGTTCATGTCAGATAACCATTGTCTGACAAACACCCTGTATATAGTTTTTTCCCGGTTGCTCTCACCCTTCCACCCCCACCCCCCACTCACTACTCCACCTCCATCCCCTTATGTTTCACAATACACAATATCATGACATACCCCACCTCAACTACTGGCTAAACATACTAGATAGAATCCATCACTATGAGCCTCTGCTGCACCAAGACAATCTGCATCATTCGAACGCAGACACACTTAAAATATACCCATGGCCCTAACTATAATATCGCTTAATGCAAAGGGTTTGAATTCTCCGCATATACGAAGGCTCGCCCTTGACGAAGCCAAAAAACTAAGGCTACGGTGGCCTTCTTCCAAGAAACCCATTTCCTGAAATCTAACCTGCCTAAATTCACATCCAAACAATTCCCCATAGGCTATCACTCCGGATACTCTAAAAAGAAGAGGGGAGTATCAATACTGATCAATAAGGATGTGCCCTTCTCATTACAGAAAAAATAAGTGACAAAGAGGGACGTTTCCTCCTAGTACAATGCCTAATCAACAATGAACCATACACACTTATTAATGTGTATGGACCACATGAGAACCAAGTAACATACCTGGATAAAATTTTGAATTTAGCCAACTCACACACATTTGGCAATGTAGTGATAGGGGGAGACACTAACTTTATCTTAGACAGTAACTTGGATACATCCTCCTCCTTAAACATATCACAGACCACGGCCAAGAATCGAATAACCATTACAAAAGCTATCCAACAACATCTCCACAACACTAGTTTCTTAGATGTATGGAGGGTACTACACCCCTCCAAAAAAGATTTCACCTTCCAATCGCAAGCTCATAATTCCTACTCCCAGATAGATAGATTTCTATATCACTCCTCCTATGATGCCTAAAGTCCAATCCACCAAAATAGGCCTAATAACGTGGTCTGACCATGCCCCTATCTCTATTACATTAATGACTCAATACCCCAACAAAGGCACTGGGAGATTGAATTAATCTTTAATACGCGACCCTAACATCATCACACAAGTTAAGACAGAGCTTATAGTGTATTTCCAACAAAATACTACGGAAGCCTCACCCATAGAAATGATATGGCAAGCCCATAAGGAAGTACTACGGGGACTAGTCATTAAATATGCCAGCTTCGCGAAAAAGAAGCGACTTCACACTTACAAGACTCTAATTCAACTTATAACCACACTCACCCATGCTAACAAACTAAATCACTATGAAAAACTAAAAACATTACAAGCACAACTACGTGAACTAGAATTAGACAAAACAACCTATATCCTGCAAAGATATAAACATAAATTCTTCGCCCAAGGGAATAAGGCAGGATCCCTTTTAGCATCTAAATTAAAAGCATGCATGACCAACTCACGGGTGGCCTATATTCTCTCCTCCAACAAGAGCAAACTCATGCACCCACAAGACATCGTGGAAGAATTTGCGAAGTACTATAGCTCTTTATATAATCTCAAAAACGACCCTATGACACCCACACCATCTAAGGAACATATCACACAATTTTTAGACAGAGTGATCCTCCCCACTCTAATGCAAGAAGAAATAGAATCAATAACACAACCTTTCACAGTAGAGGAATTGAAACGCACATTAACCAAATTACCCCAGCATAAATCCCCAGGACCAGATGGTTTCACAAACCTTTACTACCAGACATTCTCTGACATATTGATCCCCCACCTTACAACCCTACTAAATCAATGCTTCTCCAAAGGTACGATGCCCACGGATATGTTACAAGCCCACATCTCCACCTTACCTAAACCAGGTAAACCACCCACGCAGTTTCAGAACTTTAGGCTAATTTCCCTCCTAAACTGTGACACGAAAATCTACACCAAGATTTTAGCACACAGGCTAAAAAACATTATAGCCCGCATAATTCACAACGACCAATCAGGTTTTGTCATAAATAGAAAAGGATCAGATAACACTAGAAAAGTATTAAACATACTGGCACACATGGAAACACACAACACGGAAGGCCTTCTCCTAGCACTAGACGCGGAGAAGGCCTTCGATAGACTACACTGGGACTACATGAAACAGGTACTCATTAAGTTCAGATTCCCTGCGACGTACCTCAAGGGCATCATGGCCCTATACTCGAACCCTACTGCCAAAGTCACAAACGCTGGTTTTGTATCCAGCCCTTTCCCTATCACAAATGGTACACGCTAAGGCTGTCCACTATCACCATTACTTTTTGTCCTCTCTCTCGAGCCGCTGGCTTATATAATTAGGCACCTCCCGAATATAACAGGGTTTAATATCAAATCCTCAGAATACACACTGTCAATGTTTGCAGATGATGTCCTGATCACCATGTCTCGACCCGAACGCTCTTTACCAAATCTCATCAACGTACTGGAGGAATATAGTAAGGTGTCCTATTACAAGTTGAACCAGTCAAAATGCAAGCCCTACCAATCCGTCTATCCTCCTCGAGGGTATCTAAACTGAAAACTGAATTCTCCTTTGACTGGAGACAGACACATCTCACTTACTTAGGAGTAAAAATAGCGGCCACATACCGAAGCATCACCACACTCAATTTTTTCCCCTTACCACAGATGTGTAAACATACCCTACATAAATGGAAAGACGTTATGTTGTCATGGCTGGGCAGGATTAATACTGTAAAAATGATGGTACTTCCGAAGCTTCTATATGTTTTTCGAATGCTACCCTTACCCCTCTCACCCACACAATGCAAGCAAATACAAAATTTATTATCATCCTTCATATGGGACAAAAAAAACCCCGAGAATTCCGTTAGCATTATTACAATCCCCAAACAAGAAGGGCAGAATGGAATTCCCTAACATCATGTAGTATCATATGTCCGCAATCATAGAAAACGCAGTAAAACTGCACGCTCCACCATCGACCTTACAATGGGTAGACATTGAAAACCAACATGGGCCAAGAGGCTCTGTGGTAGACCACATGTGGATCCCCAAACATCTGAGAGACAAAAAATACAAACTCCTACCCTTAACCCAATACGCTATCCAAGTGTGGGACTCCCTCTGCCACTCACAACAGACTGATAAACAGTTCTCACAGTGGGCACCTATAACTGCGCTTCACTCAATCTCTCCATGGCTATCCTTAAACGGATGGAGGGAGCGAGGAGCTGAACGCATCAAGGACATATGTTACCAAGGGAAGGTAATACCCTTCCCGGAATTACAAAGTACATTCAAAATACCCCCCCCCCCCTATATCTTTCCATACCTTCAATTAAAAATCATAATCAAGGACAAGGTAGAACAACCCATAAGTACTTCACACACCACTGATGTGGAAACAATTACGCTTTACAAAAACGAGACCTTGTCTTTGGGCTATACGGTGCTGGGAAACCAGACTACCACGCCAGAATTCTCTTACAGGGCCCAGTGGGAAAGAGAATGGCTTTTTCAGATAAACAGTGGCTAGACTCTAGCCCTAAAGGGCATAACCACCTGCTACTTGCATGTGGAAGCCCATAAAAAGCTCTTGTACAGATGGTATTACACCCCTGATAAGCTGCATAGAATTTACCCTCTCACTTCAGACAAATGCTGGAGGTGTGGAATAGGTGGGGGAACCATGACCCACGTATGGTGGGGATGCCACCTAATAGCACCACTATGGGCGGAAACCCAAAAACTATGGACCCTTATGGGTATACCGAACCTGGCACTGACACCTCAACTAGGCCTCTTGCTCTTAGTCCCTACCCCTATATCACACCTAGATAAACATATGGTTGTGATAACAATATTGGCGACACGCAATCTTATAGCTTCGCACTGGAAACAAACTACTTGCCCTTCTTCCACACTGCTGGAAGTTAAGATTAGACAATACCTCAAATATGAAAATCGCAACCACACACCATAATTGGCACAGATGGACTACCCTAAAAACATAGCCCACTACGGTTTGGTATGGAACATAACACAAGTTTAAAATCCAATTGTTAAGGAGGAAATAAAGGTCTACATGAGATATACACGGTTGCCGCCTACGATGGAAGAAGCACAAAATATGACCTACAGGATTTCTATATATGGTTCCACTCTTTCCTATTGTAGATAGGTGCGTAAGACTGCAAGTGGATCATACAGCATGTCACATATATATATATATATTAGACCCGTGTATGTACCTGATCTCTGAAAACAAAATTAGTAAATATAAACAACTGTTAACGTGTATACTGCTATGTGATATACTGCATGTACATGTAAACCACCCTACCCCTCCCCACCCTTTTTGCCTTCTGTACCCTATCCCTACTCATAAAACTTTCAATAAAATACAAATTATTAAAAAAAATGTAATAAACTGTCCAGCAACTTCTGCGATCTAATGCCGCATATATTAGTTTTCCCTCCCCACGGGGTCAATAGACCACTGAATGCTTACAATACTGAACGCAGTTACAACAATGCACTGATCTGTTACCCCCTGTTATGCAAAATTTTGCTCCAAAAAATAAAAATGGGTGCTCTTACATTTCATTGCTTGATATGCATGTACGGTTTATGCCAATCTCTTTTCCTGTTTACATTCTCGCATACTTGAACATGATGCACCGCAAAAATAACTAATTTTAAAAAAAAAACTACGTGCAACATTTACCAGCATAGTAATCAAAACTACCTATAAAATCTTTTTTTCCATTAAGTATTATTGTCTTAGAATCATTTAATTTAAAATTTAGATATTTATTGTATATAACTAAGGAATAAATCCATCCCTTTATTAGGGTTTAAAGTAAATTACAGTATAAAAACCATAGATAATGGTTTTCATGTATTTGACATTCCAGCAAAGTCCTATAAAATTGTCTGTAGATAGTTCAGCCCTTGGAAGCTTAGTGCTGCAGCAGGAGCCACTCACCATCTAGCAATCACCATGATCAACGAGGCCCTCTGATTTACCAAGGACATTTTAGCCACTGCTGTAAAGAGTGAAAGAGTGAAGCATCTTCTAAAAGTCCAACATGCAAGAAAACAGATCACCGCTGATATGCATTATAAAGGCATTATGACTTTGTTCCAGAAGAACAAGGTGTCCTGTCTTTCTGGCATTGGTCACCATGCCAATGTGATCTGGTATATCTAAGTACATGGAGATCTTCCTGGACAATGTTGATAAGAGGACCAAGTTCTGGCGTAACTCTGTGGGTAATCTTGCATCTGCTTGTGCTGCTGGTGCCACTTCCTTTTGTTTTGTCTATCCTTTTGACTTTGCCAGAACACAACTGGTAGCTGATGTTAGCAAGTCTGATTGTGAGTTCAAGGGCCTTGGTGACTGCTTAGTCCAGATCTTCAAATTAGCTAGTTTTAAAGGCTTCTATGTATCTGTTCAGAGCATAATTATCTGTAGAACAGCTTTTTGGAATTTATTATAAGCCAAAGGAATGCTTCCAGACCCCAAGAACACACATTGTTAGTTGGATGATTGCTCATATTGGCAAGTTTTTAATCCTATACATTTGACACAGTCTGTTGAGGAATGATTATGCAGTCTGGCAAATAAGGAGCCCATATCATGCACTCTGGAACCATTGACTTCTGGAAGACAATCGCAAGAGATGAAGGTTCCAAGACATTCTTCAAGGGTACCTGATCTAATGTCCTCAGATGAATTGGAGGTGCTTTTGTGTTATTCTTGCATGATGAATAGAAAAAATACATCTAAATTTGACTCTTCCAGATACCAGACATGGTGCTGCATGACGGTCTGTATTATGTAACAAACTTGAACGTTCATGGACTTTTCTTTTTCTCATACACATTTATTCATTTAGTGCAATCAGTTACATTTTACTAGTTGTTGTTTGGATATCAATTCTACAGGCCAACAGGTTTTCCATATTAACACATATAATTGTATTCCCCTGTCATTATTGTATGCCTTGCACTATAGTGAGGTCTGTCAGTAGCGTAGGGGACTCAACAATATGACTCAACGATCCTTTATATTTTATTTCAGCCTTTCATGTTTCCTGGGTTTGAGGGAATAAAAAGAAAATATAAAAAAATAAAAATATGCAAATCTATCTCTGGCTGTTCCTGTGTGAATGCCCTATCTAGAAGAACTTTTCACTCTTCTAGACCATCAAGTTACAGAATTTTAAAATAAAAATCAATTTGCCCATTGGCATTGATGAGTTGATGGCTGATTATATATAGTATAACACTATGGTAATGTATTAAATCTATCAATTTACACTGAATGCTATAATTTACATAACCATATAAGCCGTCCTGGTTACTAGAAGCTACATTGTTGGCTACTGCTTTGATAAATCAAGTGTGCTAAGCTATAGCCAGGAACATTGTAGGATAACTCTAGGGAGGTCCTATAATCGGTAAATTGTTACAATTTTAAAATCTATATAATTCTAATCAGAGGCAGTGCTTGCTCTACAATGATGGTCAATGAGGTTTTCTATTGTCTGAATAACATGAGAAATGTGACTTAGCCAGCAAAACAAACATACTTGAAATGCAGTGTTATATCTTTTTTACTGCTGTCAAATTTGGTTTACTTCCTGATCTTAAATTACTACCCCTACCACTAGAGGCGGTCTTCTGTAAAACTACAATGTTTTACATTGCAGCGCTAAGGGGGACCAGAACACTGTACCCAGTCCACTTCAATGAGTTAAGGTGGTCTGGGTGCCTATAGTGTCCCTTTAATTGGTGGGAGGCTTTGAGATGCATATTATATTGCATATTATAGTTGAATATAGTGATTTAACTTCTAATATGGCAAAGAATTGAGCAGTGAGATTACAGGGGCATGATCCATACACTAAAACTGTTTAATTAGGATTAAGTTGTTTTGGGTTTAGAATATTCCTTCAATCCTTTAAGAAAAAAATAAGAAATACATTTCATAATAGTTACTAATAGATATTGAATTTCACGCATTTACATTTCACATTTAATACAGATTGCCTTTGTCCGTGAAGACTCTTTTCCTTGAAACACCAAAGCTGCATTATCTAGAAAGATTATGTAGACAGAAATCAACAAACATTCACATCCACGTTTCCGTTAAGGTTTGCCTCATTCATGCACAATTCATCTTTGCAATATGAGAGGTTCTCTCCTTTTTGTTCTTATTTATCTATATTCAACGTCTAAGCCATCAACTAAAAGTATGAATTACTAGATGTAAATTGCTTTATTATTGCATCATGATTTAAATGACTTCAGCTACTCTGTGAAAAGCAACCTGCTCTCTTATGTTTTTCAGAATGGTATGCTGATAATTAATGCTGATATACGTAGTGAACTCATTTATAAAACATTGCATATGCTGATCATAGGTCATATTTCAACAGTTCATTGAAGCAGATAGGAAGATTTTTTATTTATTTTTTTACAGTAGAAAATGACTTCACATTGCATGCTATTCAAAGTCCTTTATAACGTAATCTAAATAATTAAAATAGAATTGTTACTTAAATCTAAACAATGTATTTTTTGTTGGCGTAGCAATTTGGCATCAAAGCTTAAAAAGAGATAAATATTTAAGGCTATACTACTGTTTTATCGTTCGCTACAAAATTCTCTCTGTTATATTTGTATGTTGTTACAACAGCAACATAATGAACATATTAAGGTGTGCGTTTCAAAATTGTATTTTTAAATGAGCCTTATGGTAATGTTAGATTAGAAGCAAAATAAACTCATTTGATATTTGAAAAGAATTTTAAAACAATCCGAAAAAAAAATATTTACCATAACAGAAAGTGCTGTATAGGTTTTTCATTTTATTTTTTTATTTTCAGATAGGAAATATAATTTTTTTATTTTCCATTTTATATTACAATAGCCTATTGCTATCATGGCTAATTGTCTCATTGCAAAACCATGTAAACCACTTTTGTAAGATTACATGATTATCATGTAAATGTAGTTCATAAACATCTGCAGAACCAACATGACCTATCATTGGTCTATTGCCAAGAATGTGCTTTACTCTGTGCCCAAGTCACATTATTTTTATAACTTTTGAGGTGATGAGTACATTGATGCAAATTATGTTACAGATGTGTGTCCCTAAGTGACTTTGGGGAGGAAAAGGGAGATGGAGTCTTATCTTGCTTGTAAAAGAAAATATTCTTAGATTTCAAATTGACAGTTCCCTATAGGAATCCTCAGGCAAAAGAAAGATGTGGTGTCAACAATGACGGATCCCTATGGAAAGTATATTTCAGTTCCATAACAAAGTAGAAATTTTGTAGGAAAGCATAGCAACATATTGCCAGTCCTTTCAGCAGCTAGGTTTAAAACTATCAAAAATAGAGAGAATTATAATTACTAGTAATAAGTCTAGCAAGGTCTAGCATACAAAGATATGGCAAACCAGATTAACTCGCCTGTTCTAGCATAACAGAAATCACGGCTTATGAATAACTAAACCTGAGA